ATCTACGGAAACTCCTAACACTGTTCATGAACAATGGTTATTCAAGGTATTTGACTAGCAGAATCTTGTTTAACTCTCCGTCCGGTATTGTAATCAAAACAATAATTCCACACCCTCCAACAACATTACAAACAATTCTCAAAAAAATAATAATACCAATACACCATCAAATCCCAGAATTAATTTTGTAGTATTGACATAGATTCACGACTTAACTCCAAAATTGGCCAGACTATGTAGCACTTTAAGTTGTCGTATTGCCTGTAAATTTGTCCTTACAATCAATAGTGTATTTTCCAAACTGAAAAATAGAGTTCCGATGCTTAGTTTAACTGATACTGTCTAATCCATCAATTGTAATGGTTATATATATTTTACGAATTCGGCACCTTTCCAGATAACTAGAAATTAGCTCATGTCCAAGTCATCCCTAAGAAGGGATCTGAGACTGATCCTACAGCTTCTGAACTGCTTCTCTCCACATGACCCTCTTACCCTGCACGAGGCCGAGATAAGTTCTAGCCGCGAGTTCTGATCATGCACGATCCTGTTAAAGGGAGGAGGAAGTCCGACTGATGGCTTCTAAAGTGGACAGTCTCATAATGCTTTCGCACCAACAATGGAATAATCCACAAAAGATGGCTTTTCCCAGTTCTACCAACCCTAGGCTGTTCAAAAATCGGATTAACAAAGTTTCTTTGGGATCTTAATAGCAGTCGTGGTGTCCTGACATTTAGGCGCCTACCTGCACAGCCGCTTCGGTGCAAAGCAAATCTAAGGCTAGGAAAAAAATTGTTGTGCCCTGACTTTTGAGTCCACAATGTAATTAAATTCTCCCCTAACCATTGGGATCTCATAAGCTGTAAGATATACGAAGTAGCTTAAGTGTTGCGTATTTAAGTAATCAACAAAATGTCGCTCATAAAGTTTTGAAATTCAAAGAACTTCCGGAGGGAGATGAACAAAACGGGATGTTCCCAAAATCGTTTTAATTTTTTCCTGACTTTATTTGTAGTGGTATGTCAAAATAAATTGCACATTAACATTGTCACCCTTTCTCCTCTACAAGATGGAGTAATTATAATTCCAATATGACGTTTCATCTCTTGGCCTCCAGCATCAACTTTATTTTTTCTCTCAGACGCCATATTGGATTTATACAGGTGAATAGAGTTTTCAATTCTGATTCCAAAAATAATAATTATAATAAATCGTCTTTATTTAGGGGGCGAGGTTTAGCATAATGCTACACTTAGCCCCCCAAAATGTGATCTATATATATATATATATATATATATATATACCTATATAGGTGAAAAATTAAAGCTTCCGCCTTTTGTTGGGTACTTCGACAAAACTTAAGCAAAGAGGACTCTTTATACTTTTTTATTCTCTCTAGCTTTCAATGGACTTTGCCATCATCATCAGGAGCTGCAGTTACATTGATAACAGTAGCAACAATAGTGTAAAATAAACATGGTGAAAGCTGGATAGATGGTACAATGGTCAAAATTATATAAAATACACACAAATGTGTGACAAGAACAAGTTAAAAACAGATTAAAAATTTTTAGAACATGAAAGCATTACTTTGATACTTGATAAAGAAAAACACCTATCCAAACGTTTATTCCTGGAAATGTCGCACATTTTCATGAATAAAAACTGTATCAACAAAAAGACAGATGTTAAGCAACTGAGTGTCATTTACTCATATTTGCTAAACTGCGAAAAATTGGAGAACTTACATATCTCCCCAAATTTTGACTCTTCACAACCATAAATGGAATCTGTTTCTTGGTCGATTCCACCGATAAACTTCATTCCACTCAAATTCTAATAATTTTCCCCTCACGATTTAATAATAATTGTTAATTTAATTTCCCATTAATTAAAATATAGTTAATTCAACTGCCTCTGGTCGGTTTAACAATTTCTTACATAACATTCTGAAAATCACATCATCTGAAGTGATTTGGCAACGTTGGCACACGCCCACAATTCGTTCCATCTTTCTACACAGACATTGACAACATTCGGCCTTCTGTCAAAGGGTTCACCTCACTCATTATTCCATGACCACCATTTTGTGCAATCGTCAAGTGGCTTCACGATGTAATGCTTTCATGTTTTTAAAAAAAAATTTAATCTGTTTTTAACTTGTTCTTGTCACACAATTGTGTATATTTTATATAATTTTGACCATTGTACCATCTATCCAGCTTTCACCATGTTACTGGGTGTTTCCCTCATCCTGAACGTAAACAACAATTAGCAACATCCTCACATACTACTGTAAGTTAAGTCAATTTAAATTCATTTTACACTATTGTTGCTACTGTTATCAATGTAATTGCAGCTCCTGATGATGATCGCAAAGTCCATTGAAAGCTAGAGAGAATTAAAAAAAGTATAAAGAGTCCTCTTTGCTTAAATTTTGTCGAAGTACCCAACAAAAGGCGGAAGCTTTAATTTTTCACCTAACTGGTCTAGACGACAATGACCACGTCTCAAGTTATACCTATATACAGGGTGACTTCGAAGTTGAGTCATTTATTTTAACAGTGAGTAGATCTGATCAAAAGAAATGTCTTTTTCCTTTACCATTTTCCTGGTAAAATTAAAGTAACAAAGTTATAGCCCTTTGGAAGTTTGAGTACCGCCCTGTCTCAATAACAATATTATGTGGTCGTGTTTGGCGACAATGGATATAATCCGCCGTATCGGTTCATCGCATCGGAAACAAAAAAGCGAAAGAATTTGGAACGATGTTTTTACAGGTATCTCATTCATTTGTATATAGTTAGTGTCAGTGAATAGTGGTATGTGTTGCGTGGCTCAAACGAAATAAAAAATGGCACATGTTTATGCGGATCGGTTTCCCAATCGAGTGCAACCTACCCCTCGTGCCTTTGTTAATGTAGTACAACGGGCTTGTGAATCAGGTGACTTAAGACCTCACAGGGGACCTCACGATCAAATACAGGTCCGCACTGAAATACTTGTCGGGAGGATACTTTATAAAACAAGGTAAAAATTTTTTTTTATTTTTTTTTTATTTTTACACACATATTTTGGTTTATCTTCCTTCTACAATCATTATCTGAAAATTAATGACTCAACTTCAAAGTCACCCTGTATATATATATATATTGCTATTCTTCTCAATGTTATTACAGCTCCTGATGATGATGGCAAAGACCATTGAAAGCTAGAGAGATTAATAAAGTATAAAGTGTCCTCTTTGCTCAAATTTTTGTCAAAGTACCCAACAAAAGGCGCAAGCTTTATTCCTCACCTAATTGATCTAGACGACAATGACCACGTCTCAAGTTTATATATATAGAAGTAGGAAAATAATGAGCAAAATCCGCAAAAAGCAGGAAAGTGGATTCGAGCAGAAAATAGGATAGGTAGCCCGAGCGATACGTATTTCTGCTGGTTGGCTTCATCAGCCCGAAATGAATGCACATATGAAACTACAAAAGTAGATACACATGCCCACACATCCGGATACGGGTGTAACCTGAGGAAACGAAGATGGAGAGGGAAAAAAACGACACACGAAGTCCACAACAAGAGCCAACCTACACATTGTAGTATAAAACGGCTAGAAGACCTCGAATTTTCAAGGAGACATCTAACCAAAACTACGCGGCCGGCTATAGCCACTTGCTGTGGTACTTCAAGCCCGAAGGATCTACATCATTTTCTCTTTGTAGATCCTTTGGGCTTGAAGTAGTGTTGGTTAAGCCAAGCAACAGGAAAAAATACAGTTTATAGGACGGATTTGCAAGCAATTCGACAGTTCAACGGGCTACATAGTCTGATCAGCTTAGGGGTCAGCTCTTTGATACAGGGTAGGACAGCAAAACCAGATATGGAATTTGGGATGGCGGTTATATTGTTATTGGAATTGGTGTTGTTGTTGGGAATTGCATCAGTTCTGTTATTAGGTGTTGTGAGAATATTTCTTGGATTATAAGAATTTGGTAAAATACTGGAAGGAGGGCTCAACAAGATCCTGTTAATCAAACACTTCGGATAACCATTGTTTACGAACAGTTTTGATAGCTTCCGTAAATTTGAAGTATGGAAAGTATTATCAGAGATGCTGATTACCCTTGTTTTGATCTGCTTCACCAAGTTAATTTTAATCCTTGGTTTATGGGTTTCTGGTACCAGTCTACCGATAAACTATTATTGTTGGTGCGGATGAGCCTTGTGTCTAAGGGACAGACAGGTTCTCATCTCCTTTTTCAATGGTAAATTGGATGTAGGGGTCATAGCTGTTGAAATCTCCTTTTGGACTAAGGTATGTTTAGGTCAATTCACATATTTTGGTCTGTAGTATCTCCAGTTTCGAGATTTCTCAACCTTTCGCATCTAGCGCTTTGAAAAACTGATATCGATATATTTCGTTCTTCTGAAATAATGTAAAAAATCCTCATTTATTTCATGAAATTAGGTATGAGTCAAGTAGCCGATTATAAGGTGTTGTTTAAGAAAACCGATACACTGTGGCATGTATCTCCAAGATGAACCAATATTTCCAAAAAAGGAAAGCACCTTGTATAGGGTATCACAAAACTCCTACCAAAACAGAGATGACAGTATTGAGTACAATCTTATAGCATGACTGATATGATTGACTTGGCAAGGGACCATTGCAACTACACATAAACACGTAACAGGATAGGATTCAAGACAAATGCTAGCGATAAAAATAGCCATCAACGGATTTTCCGCAGCATTGAGATATATTACAATTTTTATCGTCCGAATCATAAAAATCGGATAAGGCTTTATCCTCTTCCAAGTGCACCGCGGCTTATACCTTCATACAGACGTCTTCTAAGTAAAGCGTAGCTTCGAAACGGCTCATATATGGGAGCTTCCATATAGTACGGAATAGGGAAAATGCTTTTAGAAAGTGATATACGAGGGATGTCCTTTAAGTTTGGGAAATAAAACAACACGGTAGGTAGTTTTAAATTACTTTATTGTTTTTCGAAGTATTCTCCACGAAGATTAATACACATCTACACGGCATTTTTGAATGCGTCAACTGCTTCTTCTGGTGACTGGAACCTTTGACCACGCAGTCTGTTTTTAAGTTTCGGGAAAGTAAAGAAATCGCTAGGACTTAGATCGGGACTATATGGAGGATGGTCCAAAAATTCCACGTTTTCTTCCGTTAAATACTGCCTCGTTTTTTGGGCTGTGTTCGAGCTTGCATTGTCTTGGTGGAGGATAATCCTTCTTTCGGGGTTGATTTTTCGAAGCTCGGTGATGACTTTTGGCAAACAAATGGTGGTATACCAACCCGCAGTAACAGGTCTTTGCTCATTAAGAGGAATTGTTGCAATATGACCCGCTTTTGATACAAATGTCGCGACCATCTTGTTGGAATACCTAAACAGCCGACTGTCGTTTATTTTCTGGTTCATAACAGTAAATCCACGATTTATCGCCACTAACAATGCTGTATAGATTTTTTGAGTTTCCGAAATTGAAACGGTCAAGCGTTTTTTGACACCAATTAACCCTGGCTGTTTTCTGCTCTTCAGTCAGCAGGTGGGGTACCCAACGAGAAACTAATTTTCTTACTCCTCATTTTACAAGTAAACTTTTTTGAATTGAGGTCTTTGAGGTCTTCAAGGACGCCTCAATCGCGCGATATGTCACATGTCTATCTTCAATGATGGGTTTGCGCACAGCATCGACGTTTTCCTGGGTCCACGTTTGAATTCTCCATACCAACGGGAAATTGTCGCCTGATGTGGCGCTTCGTTGCCGAAAACAGACAGTCAGCAAGGCATTCTTGTTGCGATAATTGAAGGGTCGGCCGGAACAACGTTGTATGAAACAAAGAAGCTCAGTGGCCGAAATTAAGAAAAACAAATTTGAACCATTTTTTTCAAATGACTGCGTCTATAGTTGGCCAGCACAATAAAGGAACAATAGTTATTATTATTATTATTATTATTATGATAATTGAGATGAGCAGAGTACACAGTACTATAAGCTCATGCAGTAAATATAGTGTACGGACACGTAACACAAATACATCAAATAGAAAAAAATAAAAAAATACAGTTCATAGCTATAAAGTTTGTACACTCCTCCAGCTATCATACTGCACTTTGAAGCTATTAACTGAAGTAGCACCAACCACACTTTCAGGTAAACTATTCCAGGTGTTGAGTATGCGGTTGGGAAGAAACCACTGTCGGACTGTTGTTTTAAATGGCTCCTTATGCAGTTTGAAGCTGTGTCCGCGTAGATTGCTGCGCGACAGATGGTATAGATGCATGAGGTTGGTGCCCATCAAACCATGAAGTATCCTGAACGTAACTATAAGATCGCCACGAAGTCTTCGCTCAGAGAATGAGGTCAGGTTGAATAATTCAAGGCGATCTTCATAGCTTGGTCTTCGTGCTCCAAAAGGGATACGAGTAGCCCGACGCTGTACCGATTCGACGAGATTTCTATCGCGCAGAAGCACAGTGTCCCATACCGCGCCAGCGAATTCAAGAATTGGCCTCACAAATGCCTTGTAAATGTAGGCGCAAGTGTTGACATCGGATCCTTTGAAAGACCTCTCCAGCATATATAGAAGTTTCTTGGCTTTTGATGTAACGTGGTGAATATGTTCTGACCAGGAAAGACGATCGTTGACTACAACGCCCAGATCAGTGTGGCTCGAAACTGCTTCGATGTTGTGGTCAGAGATCTTGTATGTAAATCGCGGATTTGTCTTCCCGAGGTGAAGGACACAACACTTAGTTAGATTTAAGGGTAAAAGCCAACTGACTGACCATTGACAAACAATATCAAGATCTCGTTGAAGCATAGCAGAATTTACGACTGTATTGTAAATCTTGGTGTCGTCGGCATAAGCTGAACATGTAGAGGAAATCAATGCGGGCAGGTCACTTGTATACAGAAGGAACAGCACTGGCCCCAAGACAGAGCCTTGAGGAACTCCACTTGCTACATGATGAAGGTGAGACTGGCTATCACTGACGCGCACAGAGAAAGTCCTCCCGGTGAGAAAAGCCTTAATCCACAGTAACAACTCGCCTCTTATTCCCATACATTCCAACTTAAACAGAAGCCTTCTATGTGGTACGCGATCGAAAGCCCTAGAAAAATCTAAGTAGATTATATCAACAGGAGTCTTTGTGTCCAGATACTGAGTCCAATCGTTGAGAGAGTGGAGAAGGTTGGTCATTATTGATCGACCAGGGAGAAATCCATGCTGATTCTTAGGGATAAGGTCATTTTCGAAAGCAAATGACTGGAGCTTATCTAATATGATTCTTTCAGCTATTTTGGCGGCGATAGGAACGAGACTTATTGGTCGATAATTTTTAGCGGAGGATTTGTCGCCCTTTTTGAATACAGGGGTAACAGAAGCACTAAGCCATACGAGGTTATTGTAATTTAAAAATGTGACACCTATTTTGCAGCAATGGGAACCATTTTTATGGAAAACGCATGTAACAAGGTTGTATGATCACGTTACTTACAACGTTGTTACAGGGAGGCTTTAAATGAGTATAAGCAAAACAAGTATTTTCAGCAATTCTATTTATTAAGGGAACCAGAGAACACAGTAACATATTTTTAATAACAAAAAAATACGTTTTAAGTTCATCAACGTGTTTCGAAACCAAAACTGAAACCAAAGAACACAGTAACATATTTTTAATAACAAAAAACACGTTCTAAGTTCATCAACGTGTTTCGAAACCAAAACTGAAACTTAAATAAGTATTACTGGGTTGCAGTTAATTTCTCATAAAATGTTACATACTTAAGCGGAATATAATCACTCATATCCTCAAGGTTTTTTAATTTTTCATCTTTGATTGGAAGAAGGTTGTGATACATTATAGGTAACCTTTCAAATGATATGATATGATATCAGTGGTAAAAGTTATTGTTTCTTTTCTTTCACGATTGCTTTTGGGAAATGAATTCCAGGGCTGCATAATATTATGAGATTTTCTCATTCTCAAAGTAGCTGGAGAATCAGCGGTAAGTTGCAGCCACAATCCTTGTGTAATTTTACATTTGAGGTATTTCCATATACAATATTCCAAAGCTGTTAAATTCTCAAAGAAGGCTTGGTGCATCCAGACAACTTTAAAAGGATTTTTAACTTTGGCTTTAGCAATGACATCGGCCCACTGGAATGGTTCATAAACCATACAGTATATTCAGATAAGAGATAGACCGGATGTAAACAAAAGGTTCGGGTGATTTTCACGCTAACGCCGCCGTCTCGACGTAAAACAGGAGCCCTCATTGGTCAATTCGCAATTAAATGCCTATGCCGAACGGCAGAGCAGTCGTATCAAGGCAGAGTCACATTCAGGTTCAGACGTGTTACGTATGTCGTGTGCATCATTGCAATTTGATATTTCTTTGGACGTTTTCGTTTGTTATCTTATTAAGTTGTTGAGTTTGTCGTTGTTATTGTTATACCTTGTTATTGATTGTTATTGTTATCAACTGCTTGCGCAAAATGCCCAGTAGTACAGATACTGCCGATGAAGTTGTAAACTCCTGTAGTCCACCTAGGAAACGCTCTAAAAAAGACACCTGAGTGCAGAAATGAAAAAGGACATTTTGAATATATATAAGATCGAGCGCGAGGAGAACGAGGCATCAACCATCAAAGAAATTGTTGTGAAGGTTTCTCACAAAGTTGGGGTGTGTCGCGCATCAGTGTTTAATGTGTTAAGACAATATAAAAAAAAAATAACACCTTTTCTGAGCCAATGACCAGTACATCGCAAAAGTATTGTTAAATTATTGGATGAAGCTAATAAGCATGCGATTAGGAGGAAAGTGCATGAATTCTTCTTTAGGAATGAAACACCTACTATAGATAAAGTACTGCAGGAGGTAAATGGAGATACAACGTTGCCAAATTTCAAACGATCAACTTTCCATGCGTTACTGAAGCATTTAAATTTCAAATGGAAAAAACAGGATCGTAATAGTTTACTACTGGATAGAGAAGAAATTGTGCTATGGAGGAGGGATTATTTAACAAAAATTGGGAAATATAGAAATCAAAACAGGAAGATTTATTACCTTGATGAAACGTGGGTAAACGCAGGACACACTACAAGTAAAGTATGGGTTGATGATTCTGTAACTTCATCCAGGAGGGCCTTTTTAGATGGACTGTCCACCGGATTAAAAAATCCAGCAGGTAAATACGAGTAATAGACAACAATCGGATGTTTTTCAAACCTTGGGAACAAGGTTCTAAACATTAATTCCAGGGGGCAGATAAAACATATTACAAGTAACAAAACTTTTATAACTTTCGATAAAATGCGTGGATGTTTTATTGTCATTTTCATTTGTTAGAACTTTTTTAAGCCATGTTTTTATGTGTTTTCGATATTTCAATAATTTTTTAATATAATCTTAAAATATGTCGAATATTATAAACTTAAAAAAAGTTACTAAGTTTTATATTGTGTACCGTTCCTAATATTTCTAATCATTTTAATTCATACTTTAAGCTTTATAAAGTTATAATTTGTTAATATTAATATTTGCGGGTATTTCAGGTTCCTGATCATTCATTTTTTAAAGGTTTATAACTTTAAATTAAATTGTGAAGCGCTGAGTAATCATACGACGTTCAATATTCTTTCTTTCAATATGACTAAATAATCCCAATTATAGCAATCTGATACTCATGTCTCAATGTTTTTTCGCTGAATGTGATGAAAACATTTGAAAAAGGTTCGCTTATTGAAATAAATCTACACCAGTTAGTACTTCGATTTCCAGGTAAAGGGAAAAGGCTCATTATCTGCCATATTGGCAGTGAGGATGGATTTGTTGTTGACGGTCTGTGGTGCTTTGAGTCTAAGAAAACTGGAGATTACCACGAGGAAATGAATGGCGAATCGTTTGAACAGTGGTTTTCAAAAATTTTACCGAACTTAGAGGAAAACGCAGTCATTGTGTTGGATAATGCGCCTTATCGTTCTCGAAGAATGGAGAAGGTCCCAACAACGGCTTCAAGGAAAGTTGATGTTCAAAATTGGCTCCGCTCGAAAAATATCAACTTTGAAGAAGCAATGCTGAAAGTACAATTATTGAGAATTGTCAAGGATCACAAGGCGGAATATCAAAAATACGCCATTGACGAAATGGCAGCAAGTCAAAATAAAGCTGTGCTCCGTTTACCTCCATACCATTGCGAGCTCAATCCCATTGAGCTCATATGGGCAGAGGTTAAAAATTATATAGCTAAGCACAATACAACTTTTAAATTTTGTGACCTCAAAGGACTTTTCAAAGAAGCACTAGAATTAATAACAGCACAAAAATGGGAAAACTGTATTAAGCATGTGAAAGACAAAGTTGGAAAGAGAATGTGGGAACTGGACAATATTTTAGAGGAACAAGTCGAGCCAGTCATTATTGACGTTGGTGCTTCAGGCAGTAGCGATGATGAAAGCTCATCAAGCTCATCTTTCCAATAAAAGATGTCGTGCATCAAATTCGGTAAGTTATAAGTAATTATAAAGCTACTGTATTTTTTAATTAATTATTGACAGTTTTGAACCCATTTTGGCAAAACCTATGCAAGAATCTACTTTCTGACAATGTTCAACCATGCACATTTTTTTACGTTTTGAACGTTTTAATTTGGTTACATATTTACCTAGAAATCAAAAAATATACTAATCAATATTCTAAAAGCAATTTTCAGAGATATACGATTATTTTTAATTTAGGCTAATTTAAACGCCACTTTGAGATTGTATTCGACTGTATTTCACCAAACATCAGGCGGCATCCGAAGCTGGAAATCGAAGCGAAAATTTTGAAACCCTTATGTATATTTACATCATTATATATTTCTTACCCCACCCCCACATGATCCTATATCCATCACCAATCGTATACACATCGAATTGTGCTAATTTACTACAAAGTTACGCAAAGCAGCATCTACTATCTAAAATATGTACTGCGTGACTCTTAATACGTCCCTGCAGAATGTTACAGCGTTCGATGATCACGTGGTCTTGTTTATGTCCGGTCTATCTCTTATCTGAATATACTGTAGATATTCTTATTTGTTTACGTACATACAACGTTGTTACGCGGAGGACTGAAATGGCGCGATTTACAAATTCGTGTCATAGTGATTGATGCGAGTAAACAGGCGGGTCTATGTTGTCAACGGGTCCCAATAGGCACATACTACGTTGTTTTACGGAAATCTCATTTTATAGAAAAATGTTATATACAACGTTGTTCCGGCCGACCCTTCAATTGTCTCTGAAAGTCGTCATAAATTATGGCGCGAAAATGTTCTCGGTTGAGTTCCATTTTTCTAATGACTCGGTGACACCTAAAAATTCACTATTTTTTGGAATGCAAGGGTTTGAAGCACTGCACTGCCAATATTTGTATCCCCATCTTATTTGTGGAATAGTCACAGCTAACTGGTTCCAGTGCGAAATTCTAGCTGAAAGTTTGATGGTAAGCTCCAGGGTTCGTAACGCTAACAGCTTCATCTAAAACTGATGCGCTATCCAAACATCTTCCACGCTGGTCAACAGTAGCGGAAATTGCTCATTAGAGCCGGTTTCTATTAAAGCATATTCGCCACATCAGCCTGGTCTATCCGTTCGCCATGCTCTCCCTTGGTTCGTCGCACGATTAACCTGTTTATCCAGTAATAGGCCAATGTTTGGACGGGACAACCGGTATCCGTTGCTTGAATTAATCGGCTCCTAATTTCCTCCAGCTAACGGCGGACATTTGCATTCGCACGATTTGAGATTCAGTTGGGTTCGGACTGAATTTGATTGACACCATGTTGAATTGCATACCCTATATGAAAATCAAGATTGAGTCCCAGTCGCGTAGGCAGTTAATTCGTCCGAAGAATGCAAATATCTTCAGTGCGACGTCACAGGTATAGCACAGTAGCCATTTTGTTGTCATTCGACCTGAATATCACCGTAACAATAATACTTACAGGTGGAAACATCTACCTTCATTAGGCTTGCGCCGGTCTTTGGAAATTATGTACGAAGTCCCATGTCTTGAAAACGTCAAACACCACAATCATCTGCAAAGACTCAAAATTGACTTATGTCATATGGAACCAACCAAGTCGAATAGGTTAGAAGAGAACTATATGATTGAATTATGTTATTTATTACCAAAATTGCATACTTTTGGCTCATTTGTATAATGTGGCA